GCAGGGCTACAGGCCCTCCCCAAACGGCCAGAGCAATATTCCCAGTTCTCGCCACTTCCCATCAGGAGGCAGGGTTGCTTTGTCTTCCCCTTGAACCTAGACTTCATGACCACCTGTACGAATGGAAGGCAGCAGAAGTGACCTTGCATGAATTCCAAGTCGAAGTGATAAAAGGTGTTATGACTTCCACCTGCTTCTTGCTTTGCCTTGGGCTCCCAGTCCTTGGAAACCAGCTGCCATGCTGTGAGGAAGCCCAGACCAGCTCAAGCAGAGAAACTGCACCGAGAGGCCCAAGTGGAGGGGACCAGAGGCCATCGGCCACCAGCCAGCACCAACCTCCAGAATTGGGACTGAGGAACCTTCAGATGAAGGCTGACAAAACTGAAGAGCATAAATGCTGTTTTGTGGCACTATATTTTGGGGTCATTTCTTATGCAGCCACTGAACATCTGCTATCACCTTCACCACCAACAAGAGAACTTGCTGGGGTGTTCAAAGGAGGTAGAGGATGATTGTTGTGTGTAATTGCCCTGTGGCTGCCGGTGCTGGGTGGCAGGAATCGGTACCACGGCTGACCAGGTGGGGAAGCTGAGGCACAAAGCATAGGCTCTTTTGGTTTATAGCGTGAGGGAGACTCAATCTTAGCATAAAGACCTAAGGCCTCGCCCTGACCGGCGTGGCTCAGCTGGTTGGGCATCATCCCGCCAAGTGAAAGGTCACTGGTTTGATTCCAGGTCAGGGGACATGCCTGGGTTTCTGTTTGGTCGCCAGTTGGGGTGCGTGTGAGAGGCAACTAATCAATGTTTCTCTCCCTCTCTTTCTCTCCGTCTTTCCCTCTCTTTAAAAATAAATAAATAAAATCTTTTTAAAAAAGACCCAAGTCCTCTGATAACAGCAGAGTTACCCACAGAAAAACAACAATAAGCACCATTTTTTTAAAGCCGGAAAGAACAAATAGTAACAAGGGTTGTTTGACAGCATGACGCTTACAAGGAATTTACACCACCGTTACCTCATTTAGCCTTTCTAAGTCTTAAATCTTGTCTCAAAAGACAGGGGTGAGGATCTTCGCATAATTGGAAAGGAATCTGAGGCTTAAAGAGCCTTAGTACTACCCTGGTGGGTGTGGCTCAGCATTGTCCCTCAAGGAGAAAGGTCACTGGTTTGACTCCCCATCAGGGCACTCGCCTGGGATGCTGGTTGGGTACCCAGCCAGCATGCAGATGAGATGCAACCCATCAATGTTTCTTTCCCATCAATGATTGTCCCTCCTGTCCCTTCTCTCTAAAAATAAATAAATACAATCTATTAAAAAAAAAGACTCCCAGCACTTGCCTTAGGTCTCTTAACTAGTGACCCTGGGAGTTGGCGGCCTGAGGCAAAGTTTCTTCCCGAAAACGGTTTCCAGTTTGCTCACTTCAGTCCCAGGCTGGGCCTCGCAGCCGTCCGCCCGTCAAGGAAGCTCAGAGCGCTGGGCTGATTTCTAAAGTATCTTCTTGAAATTTGCCCCCCTCACCCCGGAGTCCCCTTTCCCCTTCCCTGGCACTTAAATCTTCACTCGCTGGGGAGGGGGCCCCTGCTGCGGATGACCCGGAGAAAGGCAGCCAGCCAAGTGCCTAGAAAATGGAATTGGAATCCTTTGCAGATGAAAGTACTTTATTTAATGGAATTTAATAAATTAAGGGAACGAGCCTAAATGAGTTCAGAGAAGAGGGTCTCGGTCCCATAAAGGCACGCATGTAACAAAATCCAGAGCGTGGCCCTCTCTTAATCACTGTCTCCCGTAGACCCTTCTCTGGCTCTCCCGTGGGCATTTACCTTTGCCCGTCGACTTTGAGTTTTCACAGTCACTTTTTTTGACCATAACCACATTTAAAGGGCATCTGTAAAGATCAAAGTTAAATCCTCCTCCCACAGAGAATGATTTTACTGCTGAAAAGAAAAAAAAAAGTGCCGCATGTGGAAGGTAAGCGGAAGGGGGGCAGAGGTTGGTTGGAGCCCCAGGAAGGGACATTTGCTGCCTTTGCAGTAGGTCTGCCCGCTCTCCAAGCTGCTTTTCGTCCTTGGCAATGGGGACAGCCGAAGGGTGTGTGAAGTTTGTTACACTGGACAGTCCAGAAGCCATGCTCGTCTCTGCTGAAAGGGGGTGGTGACCTGACCACTGAGATGGACCCCACGGTGCCCAAGGGCCAGGACAGAATGCAGGGTGAGGCACTGGGACTCACTATAGTTAGGAATCGAGCCGTGTTCTCTGGCCAGTCCTGACTGGACTGAAGGGTGAAATAAAGCCCTCGCCAGAAGAAGAGGTGATGGTTGACAGCTTCCATCCAAAGAGAACCCCAGTGCCATGGGGAAAAGCTGGCGGGGCAGGCAGGAGTGCTAAGAGGTGACCCCGGAACACCAGCAGAACTAGTTCCTTGTGCATTTCATTGCTCATTACTCGCACTGGGATAGTATTCTGCCTGGTCACCCAGGGGTGGCTGTACCGTCCATAAAAGATACCGGAACACTTACATGCTCATGGCTCAAGTGCTGCTGCTCTGGGCCCCTCCTTTTCCTTCTCTGCCCAGGACAATGGGAGGGTCAGCGACTGGCACAGCAGGTCCTCTGGGAATCTGCTCCAAGCCAAGGAGTTGGTGCCCTGGTGCCATATAAGCGGTTATGTGTGTGAATGTCGTCCCTGAGCTGGAGTGTGGTTTTCTGACTGCACAGTCAGCATGTGAGGTAGCATGTGAGGATCCCTGGGGATCTGGATAAGCCTGGAAGCAGGCTCCATCCCCCAGGGGGTCCCTGAGCGTGCTTGCTGCAGAAGGGGTCAAAAGGCAAGGGGCAGAGGAAGCAAGCCCCTTCGTCTCTCTCTTCACTCCCTAGGGTGCTGCTTTAAAAATCTGCTCCAGTAAAAGGCACTGGCTACCAGCTGGGTCAGTGTGGAGCTTTATGGGCTTTGTGACTTTGGGCAAATTACCTAACCTCTTGGTTCCTGGAAAATTTTAACTGTCGTCTACCAAACGTTTAACGCTCTTTGACGATGATGAATGGCCACGCTGCCCAGACCACAGAGAGCTGAAAGCTTGGAAGAAGCGTCCTCTGGGGCTTTGCTGCAGTGCGTCATCGGAGTCTGGATGTCACCCATGGCAGGGATGCTAGAACAGTCTGAGGGACAGCACGAAGTTCCTGAGCTTTCTTATTACGTGAGTGTGGGAGCTCGAAAGCCTTCCCTTGGGGCCCAGGCTTCATGGGTCTGGCCTGGAAGGTGCACAATAAGGATCTCAGTCTGGTCTGTGGTGACAAGAGAGGGCCATGAGTGACAAAGGAACGGGGGTAAGTGAGATGGTTCAGTTCTGAATGACGGGCTCCCCCAGGGGCAAACAGATACTAGTCCACCAGGGGTGGTGGGGATGGCACTTTCTGCAATTCTCTGTCAGCACTGGGGAGAGGAGGAAGTGTAGGTGGCATGTGCCCTTATGTGCTTCTTTGACTCCTGGGGTCATGGGAACTTTCCCATCCTTTTTCAAAAAGACTAAGTCTGCTGCTAGAGTCACCCTGGAGGGAGGAACCATGCCAGTCTTATTGATTGTTTTCATCCCAGTTGCTTGAACTGTTCCTGGTACCTAGTAGGCATGCAATGCCTTTTTCTCTTTTTAAATTCTCACCAGAGGACATTTTTTCATTGCTTTTAGAGATAGGGTAAGGGAAAGAGAGAGGGAAAGAGAAACATCAATTGGTTGCCTCCATATTGGTTGCCGACCAGGGACTGAACCCACAACCTAGGTATGTGCCCTGACTGGGAATCGAACTCATAACCTTTCGGCTTATGGAAGGACACTCCAACCAACTGAGACACACTGACCTGGGCAGCAATGACCTTTTTTCATGGATAAAAAACCCAGAGCATGATGGGACATGCACAGACCTTCCCTCCCCTGCCATCACCACGACAACAGTCAGACTTCCTGTTCTATCTCTCAGCTATGAGCAATTTCCATCAGCCTCGCACCCCAGGCTTGTCCACTTCGTTTTCACCAGCCACACCCAGTGACCGTTTCTTGTTCAAATTTAAACAAGAAGCCACTGACCGCTCTCCCCAATAACAGCTGAGGTTCTTTTCCTAGAAGCTATGATCTTATCCGACAATGTCCCCACGTGACAGTGTTCATGGCAACGGGTGCCCTTACAATCACAGGAAGCCCATGAGGAAACATGCCCCCGGGGGCCCTCTGCTCTCTTCCTTCCAGCTGTACCCCAGGAGCAGCCTGGCGGGGGGGAGAGGGCAAACCCAGCCTCGAGAAGCCATCTTATCCTGACGGACAGACAAGGCATAGCAGGAGACTCCATTTTATTTTATTTCCCCACAGGGAGGTGAGAAAAGAGGCACCCCTCAACCCATTCCCCAGTTCTCAGTGGCCGTCCCCTTTCTACGGTTCATGCCTGAGGAGCTATGCTTGGTGATCCCCTGGCCACCGAGTCCTGAGTGTGCAGTCTTTCCAACTTCCCCATCTGGACGACCCCTTCCATCCCAGGTGTTCTGTTCTTTTGTGGGCCCGGGGCATATGGTTACCATGCTGTTGCCACGATCTGTGGCAGAATCTTTGACGAGGCAGGCAATGGGGGGAGGTGGTGCGCGAGGAGGCCAGTTTTCTGGGCTGGCTCAGTGGCCTGGCCCCCTCCCTGCTTATTTTATTCTGCTCCTCTGTTCCCGTTGCACCCTCTGTTCATTTTTCCCTTGTGTCTGCGTTTATTCCTGCATCCCAGCCTCATTCCTCCTTACTCCCTTGCTCTTTCTTCTGCATTTCAATGCCCTATTTTCAATAGTTTCTTTTTTGTTGTTGTTATATGAGACCTACCACCCATTTCTCATCTTTAGACACCAACTTACATATATGTTTCTGGGCTGCCCTCTGGGTGTCTGCAAACGCATCTGAAAATTAACATTTCCCCCCCTTTTTCAGCATAGACTTGCCTCCTCCCTCCCTCTGCCTCATCACATCTCATGTACTCACCCAACTTTATGGAGGACTTACTACGTACGTGTCAGGCATTCGGTAAAGCACAGGGACAAGATACATGAGAGTGAAAAAGTCACATCCTTGTCCTTAAGGAGCTCAGGTCTGGAGAGACAATGGACATCAAAACAGACACTCAGATGGGAGTGGGAGGAGAGGACAGTGAGTGGGGTCTTAGGCAAGGCCTCCTGGAAGGGGTAGAGCCTGGGACAGGTGGAAGGTGACCTTCCAGAACTCCTCACGCTCCACCGCCCCCTCCAGCCCACTGTAGCCCCTCCTTCTGCTGAGTCTGCCGTCCTTTCCATCTCCACCACAAATTCAGCACTTTATTCTAGACTGCCTTGTCACAGCGCCTTTACTGGTATTTAACTCCTGCCTTATATTATAGTTCTCCATCGGTTTATGTTCTGTCTTCCCGACTCAACTGAAAATCCTTCAAGGATGATTTTCTCTGTAGTTCTCCACAGACACTGTTAACACTCACTCGTTAAGTGTCTTGATGCCCTTATCCTTTGAATGGGCACAATGACAGAAGCTACTGCAAAGGACGGAGTGAGTGTAACATACTGAAAGGCTGGTGAGTGCTCTGTGCTTCGATGTCACCCCAGGAGCCAGACTGCCGGGATCGGAACTGTGCGCCTACCGCTTGTTAGTTCTACGGCTTTGGGCAAGTTCTTTGATTGCTCCATACCACAGCTTCCTTTCAGTAAAATAGTGATGATAATAATAGTATTCCAACTCCCGCCTGTTACATTGTAAGCACTCCCTAAGCCTAATCTTCTGTTAGAATCCACAGATTTTACTATAGAAAAAGCACTTCATATCTCAAGCCTCTTTCTTTACCAGTAACATGGAAGGACTGACTCTGATGATCTGGAAGACTCTCTGAGGACCTCAATCCCCAGATCTGTTTGTGGGTTGATCCTTCAGCCCATTGGCCTGGGACACAGTTCCGGTTTATGCCTGTTGTTCCAGGAAATGCTTCCTAACGGCTTCTTCCCTGCCCAAACCTCACTTTGGATGGTGCGTTCTGTGGCTGCGCTACCTGTGAGGACGTTCAGGTATCTTAGCTCCATGGGCCCATGGGTTGTCACGCTGCCTCTCTCTTCCAGGGAGGAAGGAAGGGGAACCGAGGACAGCCCTGTCTGGACACTGAGGCCAAGCATCCGCTCATTTAGGAGCTCAGACTCCATCTCCGGTACACAGCTGGTCTTTCGGTTGGCAGCCACCCTCAGAGCAGTCACCCACTGGGTTGGCCTTCATTCTTGTTTGACTCGAGTGCCAAACCTAGGCTATCTGGCACTGAGCCCCCTGTCTCTCAGCATCCATCTATAGGAAAGGGAGATATTTTGTGAACAAGCCCTGCCATAGCCTTCCAACGAAAATATCTCAGTGGGATTACATGGGCATATTTTCTTTGTCAATCTCAGTAAAGCTATTTGAACAGAAAACCCAGCTGAAGCCCACTGACAGCTCCCAGGGACTTGGGACTCATTTAGTTACTCTATGAAGGGTACTTAGTGTTCTGCTCTTGGAAGCTTCTGGACGTACCGGCCTTGCCCAGTAGGAGCCACGCCTGTCTGTCTGTCTCAAGGCCCTGTGTCCTGGTGGCAGCGAGGCTGAATCCTTGACATTCCAAAAACTGATGGGAAATAGGAAGCCAGCCCACCAGGCAGGGATGCCTTGAGGAGATGTCCAAAGACTTCTTCTGGAAGTTTCTCAGCTTCTCTCCCCTGCTCAGTTGCCTTTCCTTCAGGGAAAGTCTGTCTAGTTCTCACACTGCTCTTTCTGCTTGCTTTTCTGCATGATTCAGATCTCTTGCATTCAGTATGGGCTTGGTGATTTTCATGAGAGCCCATACTTACTGATGTCAACCTTCCCAGTGCTGCCCTTCTGGGGAACTGCAGGAGCAAACTGCCTTTGGGGAAACCTTGGGGTTATCTTGCTACTTCTAATCCTAGATCGAAGGTTTCAGGTCTAACAGCCTAAGTGACTTTTGAAAAGGTTTGAAGCCCTAGCTGGGTGGCCCAGTTTGTTGGAGCATTGTCCCTTACACCAAAATGTTGCTGGTTTGATCCTTTGTCGGGGCACATGCCTAGGTTGTGGGTCAGACCATCACCAGGTGGCGTGTGTATGGGAGGCAACCAATCCATTCGATTGATGTTTCTCTCTCGTATTGATAATTCTCTCTCTCTCTCTTTCAAATCAATAAACATATCTTTGGGTGAGGATTAAAAAAAAGGTTTGAGGATTCTGGGAAAGAACTAGGATATGCTCTTCAATTTCAGTCTTATAATAAAATCAGAATTAAGAAACAAAGCAGAGAGTTTATTTAAGCCTATTATCTTCTACATAGAACGGAACTGAACTCGAATTTGACCCTCTCTAGACCAATAGGCACGGTGCTCACAGAACTTTCTGTGCTAGGAACTGTGCTGCATTGTGCAATACACAGCAGCTGTGTGTGGCTACTAGATATTTGACATGTGGCTAGTGTGACCGAGGCACTGAATTTTAAAATTTTATTTCAGTTAACAAATTTACATACAACATATTACCAGTGGTGACCACGCTGACCAACACAGTTGTAGACACTGGTGGTTGGTGGCTCGATTATGAGCTATTCAAATATTGCAAAGGCCGTGTTGAATACTTCTTTAACATACCCTGTCCCATTACGGACCACAACAGATATCTATCATGAAAAAGCATCCATCCATTCATGCATTCATTCATTCATTCATTGAACAGACACTTATAGAAACGTGTTATGTATCAGGCGCTGTGGGAAAAGTCAGGGATCTGTCAATGGGCAAGTGACACTCCCACATTTTAATGGCATCTGTTGATTACTATAAAATTAGATTTGTGGAAACTTTGCCTCCACTGATATGATTATGTCTCTTCAGTGGACTAAATACGTGACAAGAGGCAGACGATCCTGTGAATACGAGAGTCACCCTGAACGAGTAGGCAGCAGCTCCCAGCCGCTGTGTGGTCACAGCCTAGGCCTGCTGGTTGGAAGGTGAGGGTAGGAGAAGATGCCGAATTAAATATGACGGGAATTATGGTATATTGTGAGGTTTAAAAGAAATAAGAAAGCTCTACCAAAGAACCCTGGTAAGTGTAAGGTGCTGTGACTGTGAACAACCCCAGGTGAGGGCTTCCCTGGCCACCCTGGTGCGGCCTCCGGAGAGCAGCCAGGCAGCCGACCCAGTGCCGCAGGAGAGGGCGGTGGGACCCGAAGTACAGAGATGGCATAACCAACTGCCAAGGCAGGGGGATTTCAGAGGAGGGGAGAGCAGTGAACTGAGCAGGAATGTGGCCCAGAGGCAGGGTGTTAACACTTCACTGACTGTCAACAAATCTACCAGGGACTTTCCTGGCCATAAATAGCAGGCTGGGGCCTCAGGTAAACACTTCTTCCCATCCTCTGAACTGCGAGCAGCAGGGAGAGGTGAGCGGAGCCTTGCCACCACCGCTCTAGAAGGCTCCTTCGTAAGGAGTTGGCAAGCGTACTCTCTCCATTTAGTAGAAGGTGTGGCTCTCCCAGGAGGTCCTAAAACAGTACTTAGGTGACAAGTGATCTGCCAGGGCAGTGGCAAGGCCCTGCAGCGAGATGCTCTGCACCCTGACCGACTGAAAGGCAGCTCAGGCCCCAGAGCCCACGTCCCAGTGGGTGGTAGCTGGACCTGACCCCGGAGCTCACAGACTGTGCGCTCTTGGCCCTGCCACACCTCAGCGGTGCTTGTCACACCTTCAGCCTCTAGGAGAGCAGTGACTCTGCCCGCACAGCCTGGCGACTCTGGCCTGCCCGTGCTGCCTGGTGGCCCTTCCCTTTCTCCCTTTGGGCTCACAACACATGCAAAAAGACAGGATCTTTGCTGCCAACACCACCTCGCTCCTCTCCACCTCCCGTCCTTTCCATTCACCCTGTCCCCACCCCTCCCAGTCCATGGCCCATGAGTCATCTAAGCAATCCCCCACCACCCCAACTCTAAGAAGTGGCCCCCAGCATTAAGATGCTCAGGTTACCATACCCCTCTGAAGGGAGGGCTGTGCAGTGCTGACCCCCTCCCCAGGCCCCAACTGGCAACATTGGCGGGGCTGAGCTAACCGAGAAAGATTTGATCTAAAACATTGACTTGTGTAAGTCAGAGCGATTACTGAATGGTAGTTTTAGAGAGATTTCCCCTTCCCTCCCAGCAGATTAAGCCTCCTAATTATTTTTAATTTAGGCTAATGTTGAAAAAAAATGGCATTCTCTAAGCATACAGAAAACCACCTGGGGCAATTAGGAGAAGGAGGAGGTAACGACCGTGGAGCCGGGCAGGCCAGCCCGGGAGGAAGGAGGTTGACCAACTTTGTTCAAGGATTTCTCTGACTTCATTGCAGGGCTCCCGATGGGCCACTACTTCTGCAAGCACCAAAGGTGAGCTCCAAGAGGACCAGGGCTCAGACAGTAGATAGAAAAGATGTGCTTAGATACCATTATTTGTTGTGGTAACAGGTTTCTTCTTTCAGGCCCTGGCGACCCCCGGAGCGAGAGCTTCATGGAGCACATCTTTCAGTTCAGAGACTATCCGACCACACTCCCTCTGTGTGTGCACACACTCCCAAATATTCTTTCTACCACACAGCTTCTCCCCACCCCCGCTCTCAGCCGGCACATTGGAGCAAAATTACTCTCTGCACTGAGGAGCGGAGAGTGAACGTGGACGGCGAGGAGGCATCTATTTTCCTCTAATATCAGGGCCAGTGAATCAAGCCCCCATGTGTCCCTCACACGTGGGGACAAGAGGCCCCACCGGAGGGTCCAGCCAGGCCTGATGCAGCTTCAGACGTGGCCCTTTGCTCCTGCAGCAAGAGGAAAATCCTGTCAAAATGGCTTAACGATCTTCTAATATTTCCATGCAATTAAGGCCACATCTGTCTCCCAGGCCCCCGCACTCCTTTGCTAGCGCACAGACATGAACCAAACAGTCTGTCTTGTCGATCTGGAAGGTAACAAAGGGCTCCATTCATAACTGCAGGCACTTTCGCCATTTTTTTTTCAAAGTAAAATAGAGTTTTCACTTTGAGAATAACCTGTGTGGCAAGCAAGC